CGGACAGACGCCGAACGGCGCCGCCGGTGTGCCTACACTCATAGAAAATAAAGTATTTGAATTTTAAAGACATGGCGCCACGCGACGCTGCGCTTCTCGTCCGGTGTGCGACAGCCTGAAACGCTGTTCTTTTTCACCTCCGTGCCCAAACGTCTCTGTTTGGGCTTCTGAAAACTAGTACACCCCCAAAACAAAATCAAGACTTTGTAAAAGAGCATAATAGGACCCCTTTAAAGATAAATTTATAGGTTACTGATTATTTCTAATAAAGTATTTCAAAACTTCACAGTTAATTTATGTTAGCTATTGCATTAATGTTAACATATAGAACTTCACAGTAAAGTTTTTCACACACAGGTTTATTATTGTGCTATTAACCATTTTAGATAAATCCGACCCTAAAAAGCACAAAAACAAAAGAAACAGTGCTCACTTTACAAGCTGGCAAAGCAAAAAAAAAAAACTTCCTGAATAAGTGGAAAGTTCTTGGTCAGAATAAGCTGCAAAGTGAACCAAGCTTTGACTAATAAGCAAATGACAAGAAACTAGGGCTGCACGATAAATCGCATGCGATATTTAATGCGCATCTTGTCAGAAAGCCGGTTCTGTAATCAGCGCTAAATCTCCATCACCTGCGGGCTTTCACATTGAGCAGCATTAACTACACAGAGCCGTTGTTCACTGACGAGCTGCACAAAACAATGTTCATATTCACGCGATTTTTTGCGCAGCTCCTCAGTGAACAACGGCTCTGTGTAGTTAATGCTGCTCAATGTGAAAGCCCGCAGGTGATGGAGATTTAGCGCTGATTACAGAACCGGCTTTCTGACAAGATGCGCATTAAATATCGCATGCGATTTATCGTGCAGCCCTACAAGAAATTGAGAATATATATAAACAAATACATTTTTAAACAAAAGTTGCTTTAACTAACCACTTTAACTAGGCTTAAACTTCCTGATCATGGACACATTTCAGTCATATAATGCCGTTCCCTCATCCTCACCGGTGTAGGACTCTCTATCTCCCCTGAGAGATATTTTACGCCAGACCACCTCTCCTCACAGACACTGACATCACTGTTTTCCTTCTCCTTCCAGGAAAGAGCTCCAACCGCCCGACTGGGACTGCGGTTCTTCGGCCCAGTCACTCGTGAACACAGACACTGTATAGTAAACACACTGCAGTCCAAACATCACTTCTCCAGCGGTCAGACCGATTTGTCACAGTTCATCACTACATCTCACAGAGAACTCCTCAACTAGCAAACCTTATCTGCACTGGTGTAGAAAAATATCTTAAAAAGTGCAGGGGACACATAAATCCTATCAGGGTGGACCAGGAATAATTAGATGATATACTTTTTTTGATTTGCAAATCAATTAATTTGCTGAAAGGTAAGAAAGAAAGCAATGCTTGCACACACACACTATGTTTAAAATAAAAACAAACGCTCTAGTGAGTCACTTGTAAAAATAAAGCTCCCATCAAGAATCTAAGAAAAAGGCAAGAATGATCCAAATCTTCAAACAATCATTGCGTTTATCCTCACCACACAAGTGTACTTCAGCATAAACACTGTTTTCAGATCAAGCTTATATCAGAAAAATTGGTTTCATTACACAATAGCTGTAGTCAAAGAGGACAAAGGGGAGGAGCTGCTCTCTGCTTCCTAAGTGAGCTTTTATCTCTCTGATGGTCAATGCGTGTTGTGATGGTGGTGATAGCATTCAACAGCAGGATGCGACCAGCTCTCTGCATTACAATGAGTCCTGAAACTCAAACATCTGCATCAAACTGTCATGGTGTGTTCGGACTCAAAGACTAGCGACCAGAATTACTTTTCTCTTATTTAAATAAGAGAAATCTAGCCGTCGTACAAGAAATATCAGTTCTTGTACCACGGCTGGAATACTTGATTCTGATTGGTCAGTGGCAGCATTCTGCGGTCAGATATTTTTGCATAATGACTGCTGATGCGTGTAACTGACTGTTGCACAAGGCAAACAACAAATACATTTTCCACACATTTGCTTGTGAATTTGACTACACCGAAACTAATAATCATATTATCCCTCATACAGCACATTATTAAAAAATTATCATGGTAATAACATTTTTCACATATCAATCACTTATTGTTATTACAGTAAAACAAGGGTAAGTTTGTCATTAGTTTGTATTTTAATTATGCAAACAAAAATGTTCTGAAAGCTTTTTACATTAAAATGTGGTTTCACTTTTGTATAAAATGTACAGTAGAGAGGAACACAATTCTTACAGAAAAAGTATTCTTTGACGTACAATGCATGATGCATATGCATAATCATTCAGTATCACGGTATATATCAAACTATCATCACTGCACAGTACTTCTAGTAAGGGAAGACTTAAAAGCTCAAAACAGATATATTGCATTAAACTTTCAGACACTCTGGGTGAAAAAGCTTGTCAACTGAACCATGGAAACTTTCACAGGTAGCTGGGAAACCAGGAAGTGACTTCACACGCAACAAAGAGCTGCATTATCAAAAGCTAAATGGAAACCATGTGATGTTGCTGTCAGCTTTAACCCCCAGCAGGGAGAGAGGAAGAGAATGGCAGACATTTTCAGACCATCCTGCTCCATTTGTTCGCCCCCCACCCCCCTTCTAACAGTAGGCCCGGAGCAGGGTGCTCGCCTGATGGGGGGGGGACACAGACACAAGTGCTGAGGGTTTAAAAACATAGTCTGTCTTTATCTGATCCCGCCTGCAACAGCTGCATCACAGCCCTGGTGAGATCAGCACGTCATAGACAGGCTTAATAAAACACAAGCGTGCCAAAAAATAAAGCATGACGTGACACTGAGAGAAAAAGAGGATGATAGAGAGACAACCATCCTTGAACATGAATGCGTTTTCGCTGTCGGATAATGGAGGAGGAGGTACGCAGAAGACGTGCTCACGCCTGATGCTGCCGTAGTAAACAATCCCCCCACAGCTTGGGCTCTTTGTCCAAACACCTCCCGATCAACCCCACCCCCTCTTTTGTGATTCATTCTGACAACGCCACGGCACGCAGCATAATTACAGCGTGCAGACGAACGTGCAGCAGAAACACAAATGAAAGAGAGAAGAAGATCAAGCTCTACCTTGGTTTATTCCGTGCGGCTCCAGCTCATAAAATCCAAGCAGACTTTGGGATCCTTCCAAGAGCTTTCCACAGACAAATGAGCACTCCAGGGTCTTACCCAGCATGCTCTGGTCCACACAAAGAGAGGGGAGGTGTGACCAATCACATTGGGGCTGAGCTTGCACTGTGTTTTTATTTTTTATTTTTATTTTTTGGGAGGGGGGTCCTTACAACACTTGCTCACTC